ACTGCCACTATACATCAAACTGCAAAGCACTGCAGCTGAATATGAAGCTTCTCCTCATCTGAGTTCTCAGGAAGAAGGAGCACAGGGATGAAGAAACCTGGACACTGTGAGGTGTCCACGTCACTTTAATTTGGATGCTCTGTTGCCTACAGCACAACCTTCATTTTCATATTTGAAGAAGACTCCCTGCCACCCTTGGGAAAAGAAGGAGTAAGGGGAGGGTATGGCCCCTTTTCTTTTAAGGATGTGATACAGACAGTGCTCATGCTATCTCCATTTACAGCCCTTCACTAGCATCTCAAGGCCACTCCTAAATGGTACAGATGTTTTAACATGTCATCTGTACCTAGGCAGACATGTCCATAGCTATAACATACATTATCCCACACTATGCTACCCGTTACACTAGCTACAATCTACACATTGATATTTAAACTTAAATTTAATTGATCCTAAAAATATAAAAATAAGTCATTCATTCAGTTCTACTAACCTTATTTCAAGTACTCAAAGTCTGTTGTGTTGGACACACTGACATAGGATCCCCACCTTCACAAGAAGCCCTAATGAAAGCACTTTGCTGCAAGAAGAGTTAAATGGATATCGTGGGCATGACTAATAATTTGCCACAGAAAGCCACTAACTGAGGTGTGTTCTTAATTTCACAGGCTGCAGCTGGATTGATAGAGTAATTTACCACCCAAATTTAAGAATCATCAGATAAAATGATGAATCTCAAAGGGCAGGGAGGAAAAAGAAAACAATCAATATGTATATGCTTGGTGTTTGGGTACTTTGTTAAATACTGATATTCCTCCCCAAACTTCTATGTGGTCAGTATATTTTTATCCCCACTTTCACAAGTAAGAAAGTTGAGATACACAGAAGTTAATTAGCAAACACGGATTCATTGGCCAATGTGAGATGGACAAAAAACTTTCAGAGAAGCATGCTTTCTCTACTTTTTTTTATTTTCCAGGCACAGGTATGGCTCCTCATATTCACATTGAGTCTGGTAACACCAAGGGCATTAAGGTGACCTGCACATCCACAGGGTGGTACCCAGAGCCTGAGGTGCAGTGGAAGGACCTGCAAGGACTGCATTTGACACCAGCCTCTGAGACAAAGACAATAGAAGGAAATGGCCTATTTCACGTGCAATCATCTATCATAGTGGACAACAGTTCAAAAAATGTGTCCTGTGTCATAAGAAACCCAGTTCTTGGTGTGGAGAAGGGAGCACGTGTTTCTGTGGCAGGTCAGTCCCTTCCAGAGTCTGCATCCCCAGCTGTCACTATTGATTAAGGTCTGATTGTCAAAGACTCATGACTGACAGGCCAGAAGGACATTCTAGCTCATTCATTTGTAGCTCTTATGAGAAGAGCTAGGAAAAGTACATCTTTTGTTCTGCTTTGTATTCCTCTCTGTAGCAAAGATATTTCAATATTTTACTTAGTAAAAGTGAGTGTATGGATATTCAACAGGGGATGAAGTGTTCTGAGGAACACGCCAAAGTCCTTTCTGACTCTCCCTACTGTCACCACCCAGGAAAACACTCATACCACTTTGAGTGTTATGAGTGTTTTCTCCCATCTGTCAAACTGAGTTTGAATCCTGGCAGTGCCACCTACCAGCTTGGTGACCTTGGGCAACAATTGGCTTTCCTGACCCAGCTCCCTACTATTAATTAGATATAATAATAATGTCTAACTCATGAGGTTTTTGTGAGGATTAGCATGTACAAATTGTATCAGACCTCAGGCACCCCAATCTATTCTGTTCTTACTCAAAATGACTCTCCAAAGCCATGGGGTTTTTCCCACACACTCCCCTGCAACTCTCCTACAAGGTTTACCATAGTCAGGGAGAACTCTACAGCCCATTGATAATGCTCTTTCTCTCTTGCTTTTTCTTCTTTCTCCAACTTTTTTCTGTCCCTCCTTCCCTTTCTCTCACCCTCTTCCTAATGCACACCAATCTTCCAGATGTACTTAATTATCCGGTGCACCATATTTGCCATGATTGCCACATTCTTATTTTGTCATAACTAAGAGTTTTCCACTGGCCCTTCAAGGCCATATCTGGATATCTCCTCTCCCAGGAAACTACTCCCCACAAAATATGTATTGAGTGTCCCTCTCATTCTTCCTAAACTACTTTGGATTCTATATTTTATTATCTCCCCAAAGAGAGCCTAAACCTATATCTTAATTCTTTTATTTCTTCATAACTTAGCAAATACTTAGTCCCAAATATATTTTGCACAAAGGATACATGAATGATTGTTTGTGGGACTTTTGCAATCAGTAAAATGTCATTTTTCATATGCTTCAGTTGGAGAAGGCATATTTGTTTAAGATAGAGAGAACTTGAGATTGAACACTGCAAGAGAAGAGCAGTTGTCAGAGGAATGTCTGCACTTTCTACAAATATCTCCAAAGAGAAAACTTCTGGGGATTAATTTCTAACAGCCAAGTCACCTGATGTCAATCTGGACCTTAATAGAGACAATTTCTGTTTTTCAGATGCCTTGTTCCCAAGGAACAGTCCTTGGATAGTGGGACTGGCTGTGTTCGTGGCTCTGCTGGTATTCGGCATGATAATTATCAGTATATTATTTCTGCGTGCTAAAAAAGCCAAAGGTAAACTAGAAAAAGTGGGGAAGAGTGACTTCACTTGTGAAGAAATCAAGAGATAATAGTTTTAAAAACTCAGAAATGCACTGTTGGGATTTTTTATCACTTAAAATTGTGGAGAAAATGTCTAAAGAGAAGAACTTCTTCTGTCTTTACACTCTTAGGTCTGTGTATTTGTCAGACATTAGAGATTTTTCTGGTCAAGATCAACTATAGCATCCAGAAAAGTACACATATATGGAGTTCATTAGTGACATGACACATAAAGTTATGGTTCTGGAAAATTCATTCATTCATTGTTTATGTACCTACAGATAATCTAATGCTCTGACATTTCTTGCTAACTAAAATCTTTTTTAAAAAAATTACATTCTATGATGAGAATGCATGTGTCCTTGGGTTTTTGTTTGTTTGTTTGTTTTGGTGAGGATAGGGATTGCAAACAAGCTGCATCAGGAATCAGAGCATTTCTTGGTGAGTGTGAGATGGTTTTGGCAGATTAGAGTTTTCATCCAGATCACAACCTGCCTGGGCCTCACCTTTCTCTCCTGGTGAAAATGCCTCTAAAGAGATGTCATTTTTCTGTCCCTTAATTTGGATATTTTTTTCTCCAAGCAGAGTTGGATTTTTACTTTTTGATGTTGCCAAAAACCTTTGGTATTGCTGCGCCTCACTTTTCTCTGTGGTCAGGGAGTTCTTTAAATCAATTCTTTCTTTAGAATTATTAATGTCACTACCTCATCTAGCCTGATGTGGTTATCCCTGTGGCATAGAGATATAGTTCTAGTTAGTTTTATTCTCTGTTAACTAAATTAGTTATTCTACTTTCTGTTTCTTGAGGGTGACCTGCCTGCCAACACAATTTACCTCATCTAGTCCTTAAAGTGGTAAAGTCAATAATCAAAGGTTAACAAAACCCAGAGTGAGATGGGGTGCATACCCTGCTGTTAAAGTGCAACTCTCACCTGCTGGTCTGTGCACTTGGTAACCCACATTCTCATAATATAGCCAACTCTGTTAATTTGGTTACTTTAGTCAATATTGAAAACAAATTTTTTTGAGTGGGAACTTTTATTAAGGAAGAAATGAGGTATTTGGCTGCTGGAGCACAGGATGGTAACATATTGGAAACTGGTTGAAGAAATCAAAAAATTGGGCGAATTTAGAAAATTTATCAAATTAATCAATCAAAATATCACAGCTTATCATTTATCTAAAATATTTAATTCGGTTAACCATTTTGGTTGTTTTTATTTTACATATGTTAATTTTATTAACTAAGTATATTAGCTTGAGCTAATTCTAGGAAAGAAATGACTAAATAATTTTTTAAATGAGAGACAGATTTAGAAAATCTTTTCATGAGCTGAAAGAGCACTAAACCAGACCCTAGATTAGTCTTAATAATGAATCTCTTTTGTAATATTTGTTTTAGGTTCTCTCAAGGAGGAGAATGGTGAGTTGGTTTAGTTCTAAACTCAGATAACTATAAATAGATGGACAGAAAGACAGTTAGATGATGGATAGATAACAGAGAGATGGGTAGGTGATTGAGAGATGATAGATTAGATAGATGATAGATAGATAGATAGATAGATAGACAGATGATAGAGAGATGATAGAGATGATAGATATAGATATAGATAGATGCTCAGCTTGTTAGTAGTATTTATATAAAATAATTGGTGAACTAATCTTGCTATTCTGTTAAAACTGATTACTTTATGTTCATGTGCCTATTTTAAACCTGAGTATATATAGTAAGTTATAAGATGGAATGACTAAAGAAGACTTTCTACAACCTTACAATAAAGGATATACATCTTCATTCATTTATTTGACATACATTTATTGAGCAGATACCATGTGTCAGGAACTCTGCTAGCTGCTAAACATATGACAGGTGCAATGCAAATGTGATACCTATTCTTTTGAAAAAAAGAGAGTCTGTTTTATTAATTTGTTTCTCTAGCTCTTAAGATGGTGCTCAGTACATAGATGTATCTTCATCAAAGTCTTGACATTAAATAATAATAACAGCTTTACATTTATTATATGTTTAATTTATTTTTTACGGTGCCATTGGTTAACGAAATCCAATAAGTTTCAGCTGTACACTTTAACAGTAAGGCATATATATATTTACATTGTGTGTTCACCTCCCAAAGTTAGATTTCTTTCTGTCACCACATATTTGACCCCCTTTACCCCACTTACCTCCCCATCCCCTCATCCCCTACCCTCTAGTAACTACTAGTCTATAGGCCATGTCCATGAGTCTCTGTTTGTTTGTCCTGTTCATTTGTTGCTTTTAGTTTTACATTCCAGATATAAGTAATATTATGTGATTTTCAACTTTTTCTGTCTGGCTTATTTCACTTACCGTGATTATCTTGAGATCCATCCATGTTGTCACAAATGGCAGTATTTCATCTCTTCTTATGGTTGAGTAATATTCCATTATATATATGTACCACAGCTTTTTTATCCAGTCATCAATCGTAGGACACTTCGGTTGCTTCCATGTCTTGGCCACCGTGAATAACATTATGTTTTTAAGAATTAATCTTTCTCTGACATTGCACCCTACCCTCTAAACTTGTGGTATCAATTCTTATAATAATATATGAAAAAATTTATAACTTATGCTGATTGTTGTTTAGAACAAAATGTAATCTAATTGTAAAATAAAATAGTATCTCATTCTTGCCTAATATAAACTATTAATATTCCATTAGAGGCATCCTGAAAACACTCTAAGCAAGAGTGATATTTTGTAAACTATTTGCTCTACGATGATTGCTTTGAAGGTCAAAATACTCATTTGGTAAATAAATTCTGGTCTATTGGTTTCAAGCAGCACACACACACACACACACACACACAATTTTATTGTCTCTCAGTAGAGAAGATGAATACAAGTAGGTAAATACTTCATGCATTTAGGACCCCTTTAGGCAATGCAATAGAAGGGAGCAGTCAGGGTACCTGGTCCTAACAGGGTCTTCATACCATCTTCTCATAAGCTGAAAGGTAGGTCAACCAAACCTTAGAAGATTCTTACTAATAAATTCATTTGTGTGTATTTTTTTTAGGTTCCCTCAAAGAGAAGCATGGTGAGTTGGTTCAATTTTAACTCATATATACATACTCTAACTGTAATATATGTATATTACATATATTATATATTATATATACACACATGCACACACACACATATACACACACACACATATATACCCAGCTGAGGTCATGCACTAATATATATATTAATATATATTTCACTTGTTAAAATTATATTTTTTAAAGAATTAGTCAACAAACATAACCTTACTCTTAAAACTGATTTCTTTGTGTCCATATGTACATTTTTTTCAGCTTACTCTAAAATATATGTGATTAGTTATTAAATGGATTTACTGAAAGACATCTGCACACCTCTATATTAAGGGATATACCTATCTGTTCATTTATTTAATACATTTATTGAGCACTAGTATGTGTTGGAACTCTGCTAGCTATTGAGTACATGCCTGGTGCAATACAGGTGTGACTCTTGTTCCTTTGAGGAAAGTGTGCTTAGCCCCTTAGATGGTCCTCAGTACACATCTGTCTCTCCACCAAGATTTTGACATTAATTGAGATCATATGTATCAATGATCTTATATTCACAATGTGTTTGATACGTGTTAATTATTATCTCGCATCACATACTACCTTTCTAAAAATTTATTATACATTCTTACGAAAATGTATGAGAAAAACATAGCTTATGCTGATGACTGTCCAGAATAAAATGTGATCTGGTCATAGAGTAAAATTTTATCTCATTCTTACCTAATAAAAACTCACAATACTATTCCCTTAGACGCATTCTGAAAATAGTCCAAGCATTAAAAAACAAACAAACAAACAAACAAGAAAAGCTATTATCCTTTGTTATGATTACTTGGAAAGCCGAAATACTCATGTGGTTGATACTTTCCCCCTACATTCTACTGTCTTTGGATAGGAAAGGTATGCACATGTACATAGGCTCTTTACAGTCCCTTCAGCCATTAGGAGGGAGACATTTGCATACCTGACTCTGTCCAAAGGATTGGGAAAGCATCTTCCTTTGAGCTGAAAGATAGTTCAACCAGACCCTAGAGGAGTCATACTAATGAAAGCTTTTGTGTCTGTGTTTTAGGTTCACTCAATGAGAAGCATGGTGAGTTGCTTTAGTTTTAACTCAGAGGACTTCATTCTTCTACTTAGAAGAGAAAGCCACAGATGCAGGGTGTTCGTAATGAACACACAGCAGAAAAGGTTACAAGAAATGTATATTCTTGGAACGTCCCCATGAAACTCAACTTATCCATGTTAAAATAGAGAGATTAAGGTGAAAACTTAAGTAAAGGCTAGTGTCCTATTCAGTTTGTTATGTATGTGGCTATGTTTTATCAGTTTCAGACACTGATTGTGCCCATTGAAGTATTTCTAAGAGCTGGATAGAGCAGAGGTTCTCAAACTTGAGCGAGCATCAGAATCATGGGGGAAGGGATCTTGTTAAAACATAGATCCAGATCATTGGGCATACAGTGTTTGGAGGATCTCAGTGAGAAGGCCTTGTCACAGACCATTCTGAATCATGGCACAGGATCTCAACAGTCAACCAAGAATCTTCTCTTTCCTATGCGGGTGTAACTGATCCCTAATCCCAACCCTGTTATACAACTGTTGGCTCACACACATCAAATAGGCAATTTGCACACAGGTTCACACTCATCACAGGCTGTACTGACTTCACAGAGCAATGAACCATCAGAATGTTTAGTTAGACCTTTGCCCTGTAACCTTTTTGTGGTTTTGTTTTTAAAGGTGAGCTCCGAGAACAATATGGTAAGTCTTTAATTTCTTCCCGTGTTTAAGGACTTGGTCACAATTTAAAAGGTCAGGTGATTTTGAGGGAGAGATTTTAGAAGAGGAAAAGTCTGCGTAGATATAAGGGAATGTAGATCAACTTGGGACATCAAATATTGTGTTCCCACCTCTTTGTCCTAACTAACATGTTCAAGAAGCCCTGAACTTTGTTGGACCCTTGTCTCTATAATCCCTTCAAGTCTGTAAGCAGTACACTTTGATTCTACAGCAAAGAGAAACTGTCTAATACCTGCATAAAGTACCAAATGAAGGCCTGCAGTAAACCCTGCAGAAAATCCTGAATAGGCCCTTGGTGCTCAGTTGAAATTCAGAGCACAGCCTGCTCCACCATCAAAAGCTCCCCTGCTGTTTGTCCTCTGTTCTCATTCTTTTTGTTAGTTTGCTTTGTTTATCTATCTTGCTGACCGACTGTCACTGGATTGAGAAGAGGAGGGCAGTGTGACATGAACTTGGAGCACCATCTTCCTTTGCATTTGCAAAGCCTGCTGGTGTTTGTAGGGTTCTCTCTAACCCACCATGACACCCTCAACTGGAGAAATGCTTGGCCACTTGCTGCACACCAGTTTCCAAGATAGGAAGTAGTGTTTGTATTATGACCAGATTATTCTCCTTACAAAGTATTCAGGGCAAATTTGTATATTGTGATTCCCAGGACATCTTTTGGGACAGAGCAGTGCAGCTGGTTGGCTGCTTCAGGTTGTTCCTGACTCCTAAGAACTCGCCGCTGCCCAAAGCTCACTGGATATGGCCCAGCAACTTGGGTCTCAGACTCATGGATACCAGATGATCTGCTTTTGGGAATAATCTATGATGAGCTCCACATGATCAGCAGGAGGATTTAGATGCAATGAGACTCTGGATAATGGAGCATGTGGCCTTTTAGCATCTCTTAGAAACCACCCAGCCAAGTCATACACAAAATGCCATTTCCCTTCCCCCTCGCCACCCTACTCCATCCCAAATTTTATGCTCAGCTAATATTTTACCAGGGCATAACTTGAGAGATTTAAGTCAAGATTGCTTCCCTAGAAATTCTTCCAAAGTTTGATGATTGTGGACTTATTTTTATTATATATCTTTTTTTTACACAGAACTCTTAATTAAACAGAAAGGTGAGTATATTTGTTTATATTTTAAAGGCAAATGTATCATATAAAATATATTTGATCTACTAATAATTGATTTTCATACCATAAAGTATCATTTCTTCTTAATTGTCTATACATGACAATTGTCAATTCATGTCAATGATTAGTTATCAGCTGAAATTATGTTATACTTGTATATTATAAATTATAGATTATATAATTTTTTTTGCACTTGAATAGTCACACTGAGGCATCTTTTTTCTTGAAAAGCAAAAATGTAAATACTTTATTAGTACTTTGTTTTAAAACAATCTGTCATTACCTAAGAAGTAATAAGCATATTTACAATGACCTATTTTCAAGGCATCTTTGTTGGAATATTTCCCTGTTTATCAGATGTATTTTAATTTTTAAAAACCACATAAAATATTTGGATATTTCTTCATGGTCTTTACTATTATGACTTCTAAGTTTAGAAATCAATACCTGAATTTTTTTTTAACTTTTATTTTTCAATTACAGTTGACATTCAATATTATACTAGTTTAAGGTGCACAGCATAGTGATTAGATATTTATATGCCTTACAAAGTGGTCCCCTTGAGAAGTCTAGTACCCACCTGGCATCATATGTAGTTATCACAATATTATTGACTATATTCCCCATCTTGTAGTTTACAGTCCCGTGACTATTTTGTAACTGCCAATTTGTACTTCTTAAGCCTTTCACCTTTTTCATCCACCTCCTAACTCCCCTCCTACTTGATAATCACGTTTGTTCTCTTTATCTATGAGTTTGTTTCTGTTTTGTTTATTTCTATTATTCTTTAGATTTCACATGTAAGTGAGAGTATATGGTATTTGTTTTTCTCTGTTTGACTTATTTCACTTAGCACAATACCCTCTAGGTTTATCTACATTGCCACAAATGGTAAGATTTTATTATTTTCCATGACCTAGCAATTCCATTTCTGGGTATTTACCCAAAGAAATTTAAAACACTAATTTGAAAAGGTACACTCAACCCTATGATCACTGCAGTGTTATTTACAATGGCCAAGATATGGAAGAAACCTAAGTGGCCATTAGTAGACAATTGGATAAAGAAGATGTGGTACAGCACCTGAATTTTTATTTTCACCTCTATTTTCTTCTAATTCTTGAGTGCTTTATTATTAAAAATAATTAATATTAATTTGTCTTTTGTATGATAAGATGCCAACCAAATGTGTTGACACCAACATTCAGCTCTTTAAAAGGCTTTAACACTTTTATATATTTTAAATTGTTAAAATATTATATGTATAAGCTTTGTCTGTGTCTGTTTTGTATTTTTTTTTGTTTTAATTTGTTTTTTAGTTCGCTTTCAACCTTCTTTCACTTTGATCTCTGAGTGTTGACATCTACTTTTCTCGATCCCTAGAATCTTTGCTTCCTTGGTAATTTCCTGATTGACCTTGTTTTCTCTGTGGGGTCCTGGTAAACCTCACTTGTTCAGAGAGGAACCTGAGTGCTCTCTGGGACACCACAGTCTGTGTCCTCTCACCATGGCATTCCATGGTGCTCTGTGAATATGCACCAGGTCTGGACATGTGTCTTTTATCACTCACAGTCAGTGGCCTTCTCAGAGATCAGGCCACCAGTTTACAAATGCTTACTGAGTAGAAAATGATTCTTATTTATGATTTTTTTCTTCTGTGTTTGTTTTGCTTCTTATTTTTTGATATAATGTAAGGCAAGAGTAATATGAGCTCTGATTTTTTTTTTTGATATAGGGTTTAAACATCATATAACACCTGATTGCCACAGAATCTCTTATATCTTATGATTAATCTGTTAGATTGACTTAACCTTATATTGATGTGAACCTCACGTTTTTCATCTTTCTCCTCTGGGCCAAAGGTGGGCCCAGGTGAAGAAATTTGGCCTGAGCTGCCTTGAAATGGACCTATTCATGGGCTTTTAGCAAGGTTACATATGACGTCAAAATTGTGTGGAGAGAGGGGTACCTAAGGGTATTCTTGGTAGTCAGTCTACTTTTGATTATTCGAAAGGCTAATAGTAAGATTAAATAAGATTGCTTCTTACCTAAACGTAATGATTTCCAGGTCTCTCTGTGAAGCAGTTACAAAGGCACATATAACAATGGGTCAGTCACATTTTGTGCAATATTTAATAAATAGCTATTTTGCAAATGTATTTATTGAGATGAATTTGCCACTGTCCAAGAAACATAGTAGATTATTACCTACCTAAGAAACTTCTTATGACGTTTCTGGGCTCTTCTTATCTGAAATCCTCAAAAGCATGAGTCAGTTGAAGTGATTGAGGGAACCACTGTGGAATCGTGGCTGTCCTTCAGTCTGCTGCCATGCAGAGTTCATTCTCAGCGCTGAAACAGTGTGAGGTTTGGATCAACACAAGACCAAGTGTGACAGGTTCCCAAAGCTGTAGGGAAGCTAAGCAACCTACAGTTTGGAACATTTTAAGGGGTAGCTCAGAAAAGTAACAGCCTATTTCTAAACTTCAGGGGATGTGACTTAAGTTCTGTTGTAAAACTAAAGGTTCTATCACTCAGGTTGACAGTGCAAAAGCCACCACTTCACTGGCCCCAGTTGAAGTGATCCAGCCTCCTGCCAAAACCCCCTGTCCAGTGACTCTTCTCCCTCTGAGAAAAATTTCTTCTTTTTCTTTTTCTTTTTTTTTTTTTAATTTCTACAGATCATTTGCCAAGTCTTGTAAATAATCTTGTGATAAAGTGAGAATATGTGAGCTAGTTTTAGACTACCCTCTTTGGAGGTCCTGGGAAGACTGATTATAGTTTGTAGGTAATTGGCACCTATTTTATCAGCTTTCAGATCTCATTTAAAAGATCTCATCATTTAATACCCTGTTCCATCTCCATATAAACACATTTATCAACCAGAAAGTAGTTGTCCATTTGAATTGTGATTTCTTTTCACTCAAACAAGAGGAGTTCACCTTTGTGTTGTATATGCTAGACATTCAGATGGTTCACCTCAGGATGTCTACTGTTAAGTGAGGACCAAGTTCTGGGGTGGATGTTCTGTGGGTAGAGACAGGAGAGCACTTACTAACACACTTTTGTTTTGTTGTGTTGTGTTTCTTTATACAGAGGAAATAGAGAAAGAAAACGGTAAGTGATATTTATTTTTGACTTAAATAATGTTTGAATATTTCATACCCAAAGTTTTTTTTTATTATAACAAAGCCAAAATCCAAATACCCTATTGATGACCTAAAAAATGTTTAGAGACAACTAAAATATCTTTCTGCAACTTTTTAAAAAGGAAGTAGTGGTATTCGTAGGATGGGGAAGGTTTTAGGCATAAATGGAGAAGGACAAGATGTCTCCATTTGTGGTGTGTTAGGACTGGGACTCCAAGGTCTTGGATCTGACCCACCAGTGAGAGCATTTTTGTGCATATAGTAATTGACTACCTCTTCCACAGTCAATGCTAAAGAAACAATAAGAAAAAGGATTCCCTGCCCTTAGGAAGGTTCTATCATGGGATAGAGGTATGCTTTGCATTTATAAAATAAATGCAAAACAAATGTTCTAATAAGTGTTAAGGAAGAGAGTTCGTGGTGCCATGAAAATGTACAATAGTGATTTGGGTTTGGTCATGGGTTGTGCACTTCCTGAGGAAGCAATGACAGAGCTGAGATGAAGGAGACAAGTAGGTCACATAGGGGACCAGCATTAGCAAGGCAGGGAGCACAGCAAGCACTAATATCTGGGAAGGGCCAGCCGCTGGTTCCATCAAAGCAGAAACATTAGCCAGGTGACTCTGCATCAGAAACCAGGCAAGGCTATGAGCTAGGACTTTTAGTGTGGTCCAAGAAACAA